ATATGTTTCAGTCCCGTCTGCTTTTACGGCATACAGGTGGTTTATACGATTTATCTTTTGGATTTCAATTTGACTCATTCCCATTTCTATAAAAGGGATTAAATTTCGTAAAAAAGATACCAAACCGTTTGCTCTTATACAAGCTTACAAATTGCAGAACATTAAGGCTGCAAAACGAAATACTTAGAGGAATACTTGTAAGGTATCTTTAATTTATCATATAGTCATTTTTTGGTCTTGTCACGCATCATACGTTTTTCAAGAAGACAACGCCGTGCTTGACAAGACTGAACAACTCAAGGAGACAAGTAAGCAGCATATTAAAATGTTGTGTTACTGATAAGTAAAGCATCTGTCACGTGTTGTAGTGACAGGAGCTGCCCTCAGTCAAGGCTAAATCTTCCTCGCAGTTATTTCTCGGATGTCACGAAATCCGTGATACTAGAGAGCTTTAGATTTAATTACGAGCGCGACTTCGACTACATGTTTTGGCCGAGATTAGAGTGGCACCAGTCTTTCGTAATCGTCGTCTGCCGTGACGAATGTGCAACTTGCTCCACACAAGAGCGAAGCTTTTTAAGAATCATCAGAACACTCCACAAATAGATGTCAGGCCTTACTGAATACACCTTTTTTGCAGTTCTCCGCCTAGTCTTTTGTATTCCTAAAAAAGTTTTATCTGGAAAGAGGAGAATTTTGACTTACCTTTCAACTCGTAGTGCGACTACGGGATTTCCAGAAAAACTTGTAGCTAGAGACGAGGCAGCTACGACTTTTTCAGAGTTTGCATGACCTGTCACGTTGTGAGGCATGCGCACTACTCCTAAGGAAGAAATCTCGTATACGTACTCGTACTCATAGTCAGTTCTAAAGCCCTCTAATGTGAGATTGCAACAACAGTGTCCCAGATGAAAACTAGTGATAGATGTGAGTTAATAAATTTGTGCGTATTTGACTGAGCAGCATATATTATATCTAACGTAGATTCCGTGAGGTCCCTTGTTCCAGTCCAACTCTTATTAATGGATGTTTTTCT